AAAGCAAACGTTTTACCCACTGCACTACCACTTCTTTCCCTATTGAGGATATTGATCGGGAACGTATACCGGTATTTGGTAAATAAAGCATAAACTGAGAAAGCGCCCGTACATCTGCCGACAACATCGCTTTCAGCTGACAGAAATGGATGCTTACACATGTAAATCAATATGACTTGTCACATTAAAGGGCACCGCAAAATGAATACACAACATACACTCCGCAGTTAAAGCTAACTTTCTATCGGATATTCGCCCGTACTTCGACGGCGACAATCTCTCACATTCGCAAGACGTGACCTCCAAACTAGAGGAAATAGTAAAAAACTGTAATGCATGCATAAGTCAGTTAAACGTCACTGTAAGAAACGCTGTGAATCCAGATATCAAAATATTAGTTGCTACTAACTATAAAGCATTCCCACGTCAACAGCCAGTCGTGATTGCACTGCCAAGAAACTGCTGACATAAATCAATGTACCAAAAAATTCGCAGGTTACGCTGAAACCGGTAACTACGCGTTACAAAGTTGACGTCTCTTACAGATCACCCTGAAAAAGCTACCAGCGATCTACCTTAACAACAGCGCCTTAAATTTTTCAGACATCTTGTCCAGAAGGCAGACGTATTTATCCAGCGGATGCGCTATCGTGTAATTTTGTAAACAAACATGTTCGATGGCATGAGAATAACTACGAAACGTAATACGTTTGGGTTGAAAGGCATTTTTGTTTATAGCGAACGTGAACGTTGTTCGAGTCACTACTGTAATCCCGTCGAACAGGAGCTTAAATACCATGCAGCTTTGGCATGGTTAAATGACACTGTAGGTCTCAGATAGCAAGAAGGCGGCACGATTTGTACAATTATACTATAAATTTACTCTAATTTGCTAAGTGGCAAAGAACTTTTAGCAACGAACGATATTGCAAATAATGCACATAGTTCCTTTCAAATCAGTTTCATGAATTAATGCACAGCCAATTTGTTCCAAACCGTCAGAGAGCATTGAAGCATCCCAGCCCTCCAATAGATTTGAGCATCTGCAGTGTCAAATCGATCTGGCACTTGAATGTTCACTAGAGTCACACTGCGCTCGTTAAGAACGGTGCTTCAGGAACTGACACTAATATTCTCCTACAAAACATTCAAATTTGTTCGTACGTCTAATGATGCATAATTTTTTCGGGCTAAAAAGATTTATAAGCTTACAGACACACCCCGGAGTGGGGATGTATTTTGATTTTTATGTGGCAATACCGCAACAGTATGATTTGGTATGCAAACCCAGAGTTTGATGTTTTAATTTCTCTTGAAAATATTTTCTCTTGGATTCATTTACATTTCTATTTCTGATTTTTTTCCGATATTTTTTTTTCAAGATCGCGAACAATATGCTTAAGATGAAAAATGAACTTTGCGATTGCGAATCATTACTCTTCAGCCAAAGAATGGGCGAAAGCTCAAATTATAAGAATTTTTTATTGGAACTTTTTGCTTAACTGCGATTATTACGATATATTACTAACAAAAGAAAAAATGTGACAAGTATTTCATGGAAGCAATTTTAAGGATAATAAGAGCTGCAGGAAATAACTTCGTTGTTGGGCGAACGTCTCTACCCATTTCATTAAGGGAAGCTGTTCATTTTGTTATATCTTTTATCATTCCTTCTGTACTACTGTCACAGCTCACACGCAGGTAAGCACTTGGGTGGATATTAAGGAGGACGAGATCAGACGGTACACCATCAGTACTTCCATATTAAAATATTACTGTATGACATAACCTGAGAATCAATTTCAAGTCGGCGGGAGCTGTAGGCGAAAATGTTCTAAACGCACTCAGTGTGGTTTCGCGGTACTCTTATCAATCGTAATTCTCGGAAGATAAACGTTCACAGTGTCGATTGGTGCCAGTCTGGCCATCATGTACTGTTGTTGGGATACGCAGACGAATGACCCTCTGCCTCAACAGACTATCAGTCTCATGAGGGCGACAATGCCTGAGGCGCAGGAGATGCCGCACGTCTTCGTAATTTTCGGAGCTTCGGTAAGTCTCATGGTTGAAAGCAATTAGAGCCGATAAAAATTTAAATAACGAATTTGCCGTCTATAGGGAGATTTGGCAAAGAAAAAGATTTACCCTACGTTGTGGTGGCTATTTCGAGATAAGCTGCTGCCAAAAATCATACTGTTCGTCGGCTACGCTCGGTCGAACTTGGAGATGGCTGACATCCGGAAACACATTTTGCCGTTCTGTCGGGTGAGTACTACTTTCACCCTAAATGCGTCGCATTTCGTTCGCTTTCTGTGGTTTCGTTGCCAAATACGGTTTCACACATACGATTTCCTATTTCATAGCGTCGAAAGGCGTATCTTTTAAGCTGCTCCTAGTTCATCTTCGCGTAGCCTTTTGTCCTAATTTTTTATGCAGTAGTTTGTTGAAAGTACGAATTATTCACCGCTGTGTGTATCTTTGAGGC